CGCAGAGGAGGCCGTCAAGGCCGTCAAGCGGCTCGTGCAGAAAACCACCGCCGGCGGAGACCTGAACACGGACGATTTCACAGCCGGTCTGCAGGAGCTGAGAAACACCCCGAGGACGGACGGCCGATCTCCAGCGCAGATCTTGTACGGTCACCCGCTGCGTTCAGCGGTCCCAGTGCACCACCGTACGTTCGCTCAACGCTGGCGGGAGGCCGCGGACGACTGCGATACCAAGGCGGCAGAACTTCCGGAGCGCTCCGTAGAGCGGTGTGACGAGTCGGCGAGGTGTCACTGCCCGCTTCGGGTCAGACAGCGCGTCCGCATCCAGGATCCGACCTCTCATCTGTGGGACAGCACCGGCACCGTCATCGACGTCGGATTGCGGCGTGACTACCTCGCCCGGCTACCGAGCGGCCGCATCTTCTGGCGGAACCCTCGGTTCCTCCGCCCGTTTCAACCCCTGATCGCCAGCGCCAACAGTCAGGAGGACAGCGCGACGACCAGCAACAGTCAGAATCACAGAGTGGATGGACCCGATGACGGCCCCGCCGGTGCCGTGCCCAGTGAGCACCTGACCTGCCCCGATGACGCCGGGGACACGTCGCTCAGCGCCGAGCACCGCCGAGCCAGAGATCGCCAATGACAGCACGCCGCCCAGCTTGACCGGCGGCCTGCCACGACCCGCGGCTGGCACACCCGCCAACACCGCGCCGGTGCCTATGTTGTCTCCATCACCTCCGCTCCGATCCTCTCGACCCACTCGGCGGCTGTCTGTCCGGTGGTCAGACCCGGTGTCGAGCACGGCTGGGTTCCCAGACGTCGTCGCCGACTCGCCGCCCAGCCTGGCCGGCGACCAGACGCGCGTTACGTCTGACATTACGTTAATCACGGTCCCGACGCCTGTGGCGTCACCGCCGCCCCCGCCCCCGTCCCAGCGAGAGCCGAGGATCCGCCGCCGACCAAGGCGTCTGTTAATCAGGTGGTCAGACCCGACCTGGACGTAGGTGTGAACGACCACCTTCTCCTCACCCTCAACGGGTCAGCCGGGGGCCCTCGTGTGTTTCTTGTTTTGCCGCAGTCTGAGCTCGTTCAGCCTAGAGTTATCTTAACCTTGGATCTATGTTAAGACGCGTCGCGTCATCCCCTTCCGCAAGCGTCTTGGGGGGGGAGGTGATGGGAGGCAATGTATCTGCATCACTTTCCCTTCATACAGGGAAAGTAACGCAGGGATTTGGCAGCTCGTTGTTTTGTTATATTGCGTGGCAGCACAGAAGTACAGTTGCCATCCAGACCCCGAGTCGTGCGCGCATGGGGTTTGTAACATAAGCATCAATCGTATTTGTCGATAGCGAGTCGAACCCGAGACACTCTTCCGCGCAGACAACTCTGGTGTAAAAACAACAAATACGCTCGTTTCTATGACGGATCTTGGGAATCATTCCATACCATGAGAACAAAAAGAAAGGTGGTATTTTGCCGCTTCATTTAACGATATTTATTTGCGCTTTTGCGTAGTTAAGTCGGTAATAGTTGAATGGAGCACCAATTTCTTCACACAGTCTTCGACCCTTAAATTTTTGTAAAGATTACAGTACTACAGATTTCACAAAGGGCCAATCTCCACATCCCAAACTTGAATTCATTGTGTTTCTATATCACAAATGTGAGCGTCGGGAAATCCTCAGTAGTGACTGAATTCCACCAGCCCACTGCCACACTGCATGCAGGCACAGGTTACTGGAAGTCGTAGTAAAAATAAAAAAGTAGTTGAGGGCATCTACCCCCTCGGTGACGGTGGGAAAACTCGTAGAGAAAGGTGGCTCATATTACTTTTGGTGTCCAGATCACCTGGTATAGGCAACATACAAAGCTATAGGCATGTATAAACGGAGGTCAGGGACGCATCTCATTCCCCATTTTAAGAGAGTGTTATTGTTCTACCTATATGATGTAAACTAAGAAACTGCGCTAATTGGTATGCTCTACTTGACTTATCGTAAAAACGCCTATCATTATCCCTAGCAACAGAAAACATCCACCAAATTGGTAAATGCTCCAATACCAGCATCCAAAAAGCAGCTGAAGCATTTGGCGTTGCTTTACAAGGCAGTGCAGAATATAACCGAAACATACATGTTGCATATGATTCAATGTGAAAGTGTTTTGATTGCATTGAAGATCAGAGCAAGAGCAATAAAGCCTTGCGTTCTGGATGGGCGTAAACCGTTTGTCAACATACATTTACTCATCACAAGATTACCGAATTGCATTGAAAATCTGAAGTTATTGCTGAGATATGAAATTAATCACGAACATCCGATGCTGTCTCCTAAACCGATGGAGGTTGAATAATAAAAATCCCATAGGTGTACTGTCCTTTTCACAGTGACACAGGTGTACAGAGATGAAAAAGTTTGTTTTCTGTCACCGACAAGATTTCGAACCGATTTGTGTCTACCCTGAGAAAAATGTTTCAGATACCGTTGCAATCATGGATACCATGCATACGGTAAACCGCAAAAACAAAGACAAACTAAATGCAACTCGGCATAGCCACCAAACAGGGCTCATGCGCACTAAAGTTATATTTGCTAGCAATCAAGCCATACATAATGGATGAGACTAACCTACTAGAGTTATCAGGTAAAGGCATACTTACATACCCAGCATAAACGCGTATGGTTTCCTTCCCAACTGAGGGAGGTGGGTGTGGAGGCGGGATTCAGCCTCCTAACCAAGAATGCATTTTTCCCATGTCTGGGGACAAGTTTTATCCATCAATTCTCATTTTTCATACCTTTGCGGTTCAGCCTCCCAAAAAACTAATTTAGAGAAACTACACCCCTGCTTCCTTCTCTTAAAGGCAGTGCTTTGAAGTTGGTGAGAAGCTACTCTAAGGGTGCTTGAAGCAGTCCCAGCCATTTTTTCCTCTTGCACTTCCCAACGTAGAATAATTATCAAATAAGGCCCCTACTTAACATAACCAGCCTAACGACGCGTCCTTTCCCTTTCAGTTGGAAGACGGGATAGGGGGGGGGGGGGAGGGGGGTGAGGAGTGGCATTGTGATTCCTAACCACGGTTTAAGTTCTCTATTTTTAGTTTTCATTTTCATCCATCATTTTTCATTTATCATAAATTAGTGGGTTTTAGCTCCCCACAACCTAACATTAGAAAACACACCCTGCCCCCATCTGCCAAAAAGCCTGTCAGGCTTGGAGAGAAAACTGTTTAAAGTTCATTTCGGGGCTCGCTTAGAAATGTTTCTCCCTGCACTGCTCCCCCTTGCCCCCTAATCCTCACTCCCCTGTATTTTGCAGAACTGGATCCCTGTAGCCGTATATTTAGAGACAACATGGCTCTATCAGCACCTGAAATGATACCACTTTTGGTTTCGTGACATCGTTGTACAACCAGCTGGGAGTGTTACGGAGCTTCATTAACTTTGCATAAACATTTCCGGCACACAACTCGCACTTCCTAGAATGATCCCAATTATTTAGAGCAGAACCCATACAAGATTGCAATCAACAGACGCAAACGACACTTTTGAATGCTTTTAGCACCTTCATTTTGCTTTACGTGCAACATGATGATAATTAAAAGCGTTTTATCTCATATCTGTCCACCCATCAGTGCGCAAAGTCCGGGATGTAACGGGGAATGTGAGAGACCTACACCAGCAATACGAGGCCTCTTACATCAAAACCGCCGTCCCTTTCAGTAGCAGGAAGCCCCGGATGAGTTCTTGACATGTTTCGCTCCAACAACCTCCGTTTTCCTTTAAAGCTACAGCTTACAAACTTACAAGCTACAGCGACATCCTTAAGGAAAAAGTTGTTAGATTGAAATAACTTCATAACGCCATTGTTTCAAAAATCTGACACTTAGCTACGTTCTTCTAGCCAGTACGCTTCTCATGACAAGAACACAAATAGCATGGGCCCACCGCCTCACACCGAACCCAAAGCATTACCGCGTGGCGAGCGTTCGAGCTCATCTGTCTCAAATGACACGACGCTTTAAAACGCTGCATCCACATTCACTCGGCAATTGTCACAGCCGATGACGTCACTGAAACATAGAACCCAACTAATACGGTCCACAAGAGTCCACAAGTCCACAAGATTGCGGAATTTCATTGAGAAGATTGAATAGATCTCTCAAAATCTGACCCTTATCTCCCAACGTTTGAAATCAATCTCCAATACAAGATGCTATCGCCAAAACCGAGGCACAACTGGTGATAACACCTCCATCGGCGTGCAGCCCTATTCACCGCGACAAATGGCTTTCCACACAAGTGTGAAAATAGCAATGATGCTATTACAATGGGGGGGGGGGGGCTGCAAGACATTTAAAACATTCGACTTCCTCATTTGAAATTATGCAGCCACAGCATGGCGATGGGCAGCCAGTTTGCCAGCCGCCATACTAAATTGATTTGGTGGCACCACCAGCGCATTTTTCTACGCCAAGCACATCAACGTAGAGTGTTCCAGTGCGATTGTACGTCACATGGTCACCGGCTCCCCGCCAACGGGTATGATCTGTAGAGTGATAGCGATCATGCCTCTAATCACATCACCCGACACATCACAAAAGCGGTCTTGCTGGTAATCACAGTATTTGAAGATGGCCCTGTTTCTACCAGGCGCACGCGAGGCAAAAGCTAATACCACGGGTTTCAACCATGTAATTCTACAAGGGTGGCAGACCTCCAGGTAAACTGTGCGTTCATGCCGTAGTCGATGTCGATGTGATGTTTTACATTGTCTAGTGTAATGCAAAGTTTACCTATAACATTACAACATCAGATACACCTGGGTAATATCTACATATTAGCAGTTGAACCACACCCTTCCGGAGTGTCTGTCGGACGTTCAATGCTGGAAGTACCGTAGCGTGAATGCCAAGGTCAGGACAGCCGCCTCGACATATAAAAGTGCCAGCGCACCTACAGCAGACACACACACTGGTCTACTCTCCCAGCAGTCGGAGGCCCAACAAACCGCAGAGATGAACGCCAAGCTTGCGGTGAGTGTTGCTGTAGTGCTTTGGTGGCTGGCTGCTAGAGCACTTTCTCTGATACCATTGTTAAGAGCGCGAGGTGTGGTACGTCATAATGACTAGAAGGAAGGCGGTTTAAACTATCCTACGAGGAAAACCGATCATAAAGCCCAATAGGTCGACATCACCAGAAATAAACTGCCATGCATTTGTTTACCTCATAGAAGAACTATAACTATTTCAATTAAGTGCTAAAGCCAGTAGCAACAGTAATTGCAGAATGTGTTACGAAATAATTTGAGCTGCTGATTACATTAGCAAGTGGCAGCCAATTCATCTCGGTCAAAACAAGTCGATGCAAAGCAACAGCGAGGACACAGAGAAAGAAGACTTGTCTCCATTCAAATACGCCTGTTCTTGTGTTGTTCACGCAGGATGTTCATGCCACTCATGTCACCCCCGTTGCTTCCAGCTGCTGCTTCTGGCTGCCCTGGTGGCTGTTGTCTCTGCTAGCCACGGATACAGTGGTTATCACGGCTACCGCTCATACGCCGGCCCCTACTACGGAGGCTACAGGAGCGCATACCACGACAACGGCTACGGAGTCCGCAGCTACGGCCACCACGGCTACCGCCACCGCCGCTCTCTGGGCCACAGCGCCTACCATAGCTACCATCCTCGCGGATACGGATACGCCAGCCACGGATATGGATACGCGCCTCGCAGCTACGGATACGGATACGCTGCCCGCAGCTACGGATACGCCCCCCGTGCCTATGGATACCGCTCTGGCTACTACCATTAAGCGTCCTGTTTTGTGATCGTCCGTTCGCATTTCGCATCAATCAATACACTGTTTTCGATACAGCTCATGTCGTATGCGTTGTTTTAAGTGAAGGAGCAATAATGGTGAATGCATACAGGGAAGAGCATACAGACAACAATGATGGAACTTTTATTGCGCTCACATAAGTTTGTTTTTGAAAGACACCATTGGTGTAGAAAAAACAACTACGCTTGTTGCTATGCCTAAACTTAGGAATCATTATGTCCCATGAGAACAAAAAGGAAGGTGGTACGTTGCACCTTCATTTAACCTAACTTCTTGGCGCTTTTGCGTAGTAAAGTTTGTAATAGTTAAACGGAGTACCAATTTCTTCTCACATTCTTCGACGCCCAAAGTTTTGTAAACATTAGGGTGTCACGAATACGACATAAGGTCAATTCCGACATCCCAGACTTGAATTGATTATGCTCCTAAATCACAAACGTGAGCGTTGGGAAGCCCGTAATAGTGATTCAATTCCACCATCCCACTGTCACACTGTATGCAGGCACAGGTCACTGGACGTCGTAGCAAAAATAACAAGGTCGTTGAGGGCACGTAACCCTTCCGTGAAGGTTGGAGAACTCGCAGAGAAAGGTGGCTCAAATCACTTGGTGTCCAGATTACCTGACGTAGGCCACATGCAAAGCTATAGGCATGTGTAAACGGAGGTCGGGGACGCATCTCTTCCCCATTTTTAGAGAGTGTTATTGTCCTACCTATATGATGCAAAATAAGAAACTAAACTAATTGGTATGTTCGAGTTGACCTATCGTGGAATCGCCGACCATTATCCCTGGCAAGAGAAAACATGCACCAAATTGGTTAAGACTCCCACACCTGCATCCAAAAACCATCTACAGCATTTGGCATTGCCTTACAGGGCAGTACGGATAAAACAGAAACGTGTGTTGCATATGATTCACTGTGAAAGTGTCTTTATTGCATTGAACATCAGAGCAAGAGCAATAAAGCCTTGCTTTTTGGATGGGCGTGAACCCTTTGTCAACATAGATTTACTGATCACAATATTGCCGAATTGAGTTGAAAATCTAAAGTTATTGTCAATATGTGAAATTAATCACAAACATCCGATGCCGTCTCCTAAACCGATGGAGGTCGAATAATAAAACTCTCATTGGTTGTATGGTCCTTTTCAGTGACACAGGTGTGTAGGGATAAAACAATTTTTTTTTTCTGTCACGGGCAAGATTTCGAACCGTGTTTGTTGCTACCGTAAGTGAAATATTTCAGAAACCGTTGCAATCATACATACCATGCACACGAAACCGCAAAAACAAAGACAAACTAAATGCAATGCGGTATAACCACAAAACATTTCCGTTCCGGGAGCTCACATGCACTACAGTTGTATTTGCTAGCCATCAAACCATGCATAATGGATGAGACTAGCCTAATAATAAATAATAACCAGGTAAATGCATACTTACCTACCCAGCCTGAACGCATATGGTTTCCTTTTCAGTTGGGGAGGTGGGTGTGGGAGGCGGGATTCGGCCTCCCAACCACGAATACATTTTTCCCGTGTCTGGGGATAAGTTTTATCCATCATCGCTCATTTCTCATACTTTAGCGGTTCAGCCACCCAAGAAACTAATTTTAAGAAACTACACCCCTGCTTCCTTCTGTTAAAAATATGTGCTTTAAGGCTCCGGAGAAAACTCTTCTAAAAGTGTTTTGGAGGCAATCGCAGTAATTTTTTCCTCCTGTACTTTCCAACGTAATAGGGTTATCAAGTAAGGGCCTAATTAACATAACCAGCCTAGCCACGCGTAGTTTCCCATTCAGTTGGAAGACGGGGTGCGGGGCGGGGAGGGGGTGGGGGAAGAGGAGCAGGGTTGTGTCTCCTTAACCAGGCTTAAGTTTTCCATTTTTAGTTTTAATTTTGATCCATCATTTTTCATTTATCATAATTTAGTGGGTTTTAGCTTGCCAGAACCTAACAATAAGAAAATACACCCTGCCACCAACTGGGATAAGTTGTGTCAGGCCTAAAGAGAAAAGTGCTTTAAGTTCATTTCGGGGGGCCAGACTTAGAAATGTTTCTCCCTGCATCCCTCCCCCTTGCCCTTTAATCCCTCAACCCCTGTATTTTGCAGAACTGGATCCCTATAGCCGTATAATTAGCAATAGCATGGTTCTATCAGCCCCTGAAATGATATCACTTTTGGTTTCATGACATCATCGTACAACCAGGTGGAAGAGTTAAAGACCTTCATTATCTTTGCATAAACATTTCCGGTGCAGAACTCGCGCTTCCTGAAATGATTCCATTTATTTAGAACAGAACCCATACCAGATTGCAATCAACAGAGACAAACGACATTCTTGAATCCTTTTACCAGGTTCATTTTGCTTTACGTGTAATATAGTGATAATTTAAAACGTTTTATGTCATACCTGTCCACCGATCACTGCGGTAAGTCCGAGATGTAACGAGAAATGTGAGAGACCTACACGAGCGATACGCGGCCTCTTACTTCAAAGCAGCTGTCCCCTTCAGTAGCAGGAAGCCCCGGATGAATTCTTGAAATGCGTCGCTCGAGCGACCTCCGCTTACTTCTAAACCTGCAGCTAACAAGCTTACAAGCTACAGCAACATCCTTAAGCAAAAACACCCTTAGTCTGGGAGGGCTTGATAACGCCATTGTATTAAAAAGCTGAAAACTAGCTAAGTTCTTCTAGCCAGTAAGCTTCTCACAAGAACACAAATAGCATGAGCCCACCGCCTCGCACCAAACCCAATGTATTACCGCGAGGCGAACATTCAAGCTCATCTGTCTCACATGACATGACGCCTTAAAACGCTGCATCCACATTCACTCTGCTCTGGTCACTGCCGAGGACGTCACTGAAACACGCATCCCACCAAACATTTCTGTTAACGAGCTTGCGGAATTTCATTCCGAAGATTGAATCGAACTCTCAAAATGTGACCTTATTCTCCTTACGTTTGAAATCAATATCCAATACAAGATGCTGTCGCCAAAACGACAAAGAACTGGTGATAACACTGCAATCGGCGTGCAGCCCTATTAACCGTAACAAATGGTCATTCACACAAGTGCAAAGATAGCAATGTTGCTATTACAATGGGGGCTGCAAAAAATTTAAAACATTCGATTTCCTAATTGAAAAATGTGTACCTACAGCATGACGATGGGCGACCAGTTTGCAAGCACTCATCGTAAATTGATTTGGTGACACCATCAGCGCACTTTTCTACGCCAAGCGCATCAACGTAGAGTGTTCCAGTGCGATTGTACGTCACATGGTCATCGGCTCCCCTCCAACGGGTATGATCTGTATAGTGATAGCGATGATGCCTCTAATCAAATCACTCCACACATCACAAAAGCGGTCGTACTGGTAAGCACAATATTTGAAAATGACACTGTCTCTGCCAGGCGCACGCGAGGCAAAAGCTAATGCCGCGTGCTTCAACCATGTTATTATACAAGAGTGGTAGGCCTCCAGGTAAACTCTGTGTCCATGCCGTTGTCGATGTCAATGTGATTTTTTACGGTATCTAGTGTAATGCACAGCTTGCCCACGTTATAACATCAGATAAACCTGAACAATATTTTCATATTAGCAGTTGAACCACACCCTTCCGGAGTGTCGGTCAGACATTACAAGCTGGAAGTACCGCATCGTGGCATTCAAGGTCAGGACAGCCGCCTCGACATATAAAAGTGACAGCACACCTACCGCAGAGCCACACACTGGTCAACTCCCCCAGCGGTCGGAGGTCCAGCAAACCGCAGAGATGAACGCCAAGCTTGCGGTGAGTGTTGCTGTAGTGCTTTGGTGGCTGGCTGCGGGAGCGTTTTCTCTGATGCCATTAAGTGCACGATGTCTGCTACATCATGACTAAAATTAAGCAGGTTTAAAGTACGCTACGATCAAGACCGACCAAAAAGCCGAATAGGTCGACATCACCAGAAATGAACTGCAGTGCATTTGTTTACCTGCTAGATGAACTACAACTATTTCAGTTGAGTGTTAAAACCAGTAGCAACAGTAATTGCAGAATGTGTTACGAAATAATTTGAGCTGCTGATTACATTAGCAAGTGGCAGCCAATTCATCTCGGTCAAAACAAGTCGATGCAAAGCAACAGCGAGGACACAGAGAAAGAAGACTTGTCTTCATTGAAATACGCTTGTTCTTGTGTTGTTCACGCAGGATGTTCATGCCACTCATGTCACCCCCGTTGCTTCCAGCTGCTGCTTCTGGCTGCCCTGGTGGCTGTTGTCTCTGCTAGCCACGGATACAGTAGTTATCACGGCTACCGCTCATACGCCGGCCCCTACTACGGAGGCTACAGGAGCGCATACCACGGCAACGGCTACGGAGTCTGCAGCTACGGCCACCACGGCTACCGCCACCGCCGCTCTCTGGGCCACAGCGCCTACCATAGCTACCATCCTCGCGGATACAGATACGCCAGCCACGGATATGGATACGCGCCTCGCAGCTACGGATACGGATACGCTGCCCGCAGCTACGGATACGCCCCCCCCCCCCCGTGCCTATGGATACCGCTCTGACTACTACCGTTAAGCGTCCGGTTTTGTGATCGTCCGTTCGCATTTGGCATCAATCAATACGCTGGTTTCGATACAACTCATGTCGTATGCGATGCTTTAAGCGAAAGAGCGATAATGGTGAATGGATACAGGGAAGAGCATACAGACAACAATGGTGGGACTTTTATTGTGCCCACATCAGTTTATTTTTGAAACCCACCATTTGTGTAACCAAAAAAGCAAATACGCTCGCTGCTATACCTAAACTTAGGAATCATTCTGTGCCATGAGAACAAAAAGGAAGGTGGTATTTCGCCCCTTTATTTAACCTAACTTCTTGGCGCTTTTGCGTAGTAAAGTTTGTAATAGTTAAACGGAGTACCAATTTCTTCTCACATTCTTCGACGCCCTAAGTTTTGTAAACATTAGGGTGTCACGAATACGACATAAGGCCAATTCCGACATCCCTGACTTGAATTGATTATGCTCCTAAATCACAAACGTGAGCGTTGGGAAGCCCGTAGTAGTGATTCAATTCCACCATCCCACTGTCACACTGTATGCAGGCACAGGTCACTGGACGTCGTAGCAAAAATAACAAGGTCGTTGAGGGCACGTAACCCTTCCGTGAAGGTTGGAGAACTCGTAGAGAAAGGTGGCTCACATCACTTGGTGTCCAAATTACCTGACGTAGGCCACATGCAAAGCTATAGGCATGTGTAAACGGAGGTCGGGGACGCATCTCTTCCCCCATTTTTTGAGAGTGTGTTAATGTCCTACCTATCTGATACAAAATAAGAAACTAAACTAATTGGTATGTTCGAGTTGACCTATGGTGGAATCGCCGACCATTATCCCTGGCAAGAGAAAACATGCACCAAATTGGTTAAGACTCCCACACCTGCATCCAAAAACCATCTACAGCATTTGGCGTTGCCTTACAGGGCAGTACGGATACAACAGAAACGTATGTGTTGCATATGATTCACTGTGAAAGTGTCTTTATTGCATTGAACATCAGAGCAAGAGCAATAAAGCCTTGCTTTTTGGACGGGCGTGAACTCTTTGTCAACATAGATTTACTGATCACAATATTGCCGAATTGCGTTGAAAATCTAAAGTTATTGTCAATATGTGAAATTAATCACAAACATCCGATGCTGTCTCCTTAACCGATGGAGGTCGAATAATAAAACTCTCATTGGTTGTATGATCCTTTTCAGTGACACAGGTGTACAGGGATAAAACAACTTTTTTTCTGTCACGGGCAAGATTTCGAACCGTGTTTGTTGCTACCGTGAGTGGAATAGTTCAGAAACCGTTGCAATCATACGTACCATGCACACGAAACCGCAAAAACAAAGACAAACTAAATGCAATGCGGTGTAACCACAAAACATTTCCGTTCCGGGAGCTCACTTGCACTACAGTTATATTTGGTTGCCATCAAACCATGCATAATGGATGAAACTAGCCTGATAATAAATAATAACCAGGTAAATGCATACTTACCTACCCAGCCTGAACGCATATGGTTTCCTTTTCAGTTGGGGAGGTCGGTGTGGGAGGCGGGATTCGGCCTCCCAGCCACGAATACAATTTTCCCGTGTCTGGGGATAAGTTTTATCCATCATCGCTCATTTCTCATACTTTAGCGGTTCAGCCACCCAAGAAACTAATTTTAAGAAACTACACCCCTGCTTCCTTCTGTTAAAAATATGTGCTTTAAGGCTCCGGAGAAAACTCTTCTAAAAGTGTTTTGGAGGCAATCGCAGTAATTTTTTCCTCCTGTACTTTCCAACGTAATAGGGTTATCAAGTAAGGGCCTAATTAACATAACCAGCCTAGCCACGCGTAGTTTCCCATTCAGTTGGAAGACGGGGTGCGGGGCGGGGAGGGGGTGGGGGAAGAGGAGCAGGGTTGTGTCTCCTTAACCAGGCTTAAGTTTTCCATTTTTAGTTTTAATTTTGATCCATCATTTTTCATTTATCATAATTTAGTGGGTTTTAGCTTGCCAGAACCTAACAATAAGAAAATACACCCTGCCACCAACTGGGATAAGTTGTGTCAGGCCTAAAGAGAAAAGTGCTTTAAGTTCATTTCGGGGGGCCAGACTTAGAAATGTTTCTCCCTGCATCCCTCCCCCTTGCCCTTTAATCCCTCAACCCCTGTATTTTGCAGAACTGGATCCCTATAGCCGTATAATTAGCAAAAGCATGGTTCTATCAGCCCCTGAAATGATATCACTTTTGGTTTCATGACATCATCGTACAACCAGGTGGAAGAGTTAAAGACCTTCCTTATCTTTGCATAAACATTTCCGGTGCAGAACTCGCGCTTCCTGAAATGATTCTATTTATTTATAACAGAACCCATACCAGATTGCAACCAACAGAGGCAAACGACATTCTTGAATACTTTCACCAGGTTCATTTTGCTTTACGTGTAATATAGTGATAATTTAAAAGCGTTTTATGTCATACCTGTCCACCGATCACTGCGCTAAGTCCGAGATGTAACGGGAAATGTGAGATACCTACACTAGCGATACGCGGCCTCTTACTTCAAAGCCGCTGTCCCCTTCAGTAGCAGGAAGCCCCGGATGAATTCTTGAAATGCGTCGCTCGAGCGACCTCCGCTTACTTCTAAACCTGCAGCTAACAAGCTTACAAGCTACAGCAACATCCTTAAGCAAAAACACCCTTAGTCTGGGAGGGCTTGATAACGCCATTGTATTAAAAAGCTGAAAACTAGCTAAGTTCTTCTAGCCAGTAAGCTTCTCACGACAAAAACACAAATAGCATGAGCCCACCGCCTCGCACCAAACCCAATGTATTACCGCGAGGCGAACATTCAAGCTCATCTGTCTCACATGACATGACGCCTTGAAACGCTGCATCCACATTCACTCTGCTCTGGTCACTGCCGAAGACGTCACTGAAACACGCATCCCACCAAACATTTCTGTTAACGAGCTTGCGGAATTTCATTCCGAAGATTGAATCGAACTCTCAAAATGTGACCTTATTCTCCTTACGTTTGAAATCAATATCCAATACAAGATGCTGTCGCCAAAACGACAAAGAACTGGTGATAACACTGCAATCGGCGTGCAGCCCTATTAACCGTAACAAGTGGTCATTCACACAAGTGCAAAGATAGCAATGTTGCTATTACAATGGGGGCTGCAAAAAATTTAAAACATTCGATTTCCTAATTGAAAAATGTGTACCTACAGCATGGCGATGGGCGACCAGTTTGCAAGCACCCATCGTAAATTGATTTGGTGACACCATCAGCACACTTTTCTACGCCAAGCGCATCAACGTAGAGTGTTCCAGTGCGATTGTACGTCACATGGTCATCGGCTCCCCTCCAACGGGTATGATCTGTATAGTGATAGCGATGATGCCTCTAATCAAAGCACTCCACACATCACAAAAGCGGTCGTACTGGTAAGCACAATATTTGAAAATGACACTGTCTCTGCCAGGCGCACGCGAGGCAAAAGCTAATGCCGCGTGCTTCAACCATGTTATTATACAAGAGTGGTAGGCCTCCAGGTAAACTCTGTGTCCATGCCGTTGTCGATGTCAATGTGATGTTTTACGGTATCTAGTGTAATGCACAGCTTGCCCACGTTATAACATCAGATAAACCTGAACAATATTTTCATATTAGCAGTTGAACCACACCCTTCCGGAGTGTCGGTCAGACATTACAAGCTGGAAGTACCGCATCGTGGCTGTCAAGGTCAGGACAGCCGCCTCGACATATAAAAGTGACAGCACACCTACCGCAGAGACACACACTGGTCTACTCCCCCAGCGGTCGGAGGTCCAGCAAACCGCAGAGATGAACGCCAAGCTTGCGGTGAGTGTTGCTGTAGTGCTTTGGTGGCTGGCTGCGGGAGCGTTTTCTCTGATGCCATTAAGTGCACGATGTCTGCTACATCATAATGACTAAAATTAAGCAGGTTTAAAGTACGCTACGATCAAGACCGACTAAAAAGCCGAATAGGTCGACATCACCAGAAATGAACTGCAGTGCATTTGTTTACCTGATAGATGAACTACAACTATTTCAGTTGAGTGTTAAAACCAGTAGCAACAGTAATTTCAGTGCGCGTCACGAAAGACTTCAAGATGCTGATTATATTAGCAGGTAGCAGCCATTTCATCTGGGCCCAAAATAAGCCGGTACAAAGCAAACAACGAAGGCATTGAGAAAGGAGACTTGTATTTCCATTCAAATTGGGCTGTTCATGTATTATTCGCACAGGATTTTCTCGCCACTTATGTCGCCTACGTTGCTTCCAGCTGCTGCTTCTGGCTGCCCTGGTGGCTGTTGTCTCTGCCAGCCACGGATACAGTGGTTATCACGGCTACCACTCATACGCCGGCCCCTACTACGGAGGCTACAGGAGCGCATACCTCGGCTACGGCTACGGACTCCGCAGCTACGGCCACCACGGCTACCGCCACCGCCGCTCTCTGGGCCACAGCGTCTACCATAGCTACCATCCTCACGGATACGGATACGTCAGCCACGGATACGGATACGCGCCCCGCAGCTACAGATACGGATACGCTGCCCGCAGCCACGGATACGCCCCCCGTGCCTATGGATACCGCTCTGGCTACTCTCATTAAGTGTCCTGTTTTGTGATATTCCGTTGGCATTTGGCATGAATCAATACACTGTTTTCGATACAGCTAAGGCCTTATGTGATGGTTTAAGAAAAACCAGCATTAGTAGTGAATCCATGTGGGGGCGACTGTAAGGCTAGCGATGATGTAAATTTAATCGAGCTCATGTGGGTCTGTTTCTGGAAGACGTTGCTAATGCAGAGAAATGATCAAATACGCTTGTGTGTATGTCTAAAGCTATGCATCTTGAAAGCGTTGTATATGATCAGGACAAACAGAAAGGTGATATTTTGCCGCTTCATTTAACCTTACTTCTTGACGGTTTTGCGCAATGAAGTTGGGAATGGCTGAATGATGTGCCAACTTTTTCTC